TAATGTTACCATCTAGCACAACTAATGTTACCATACTAACACAACTAATGTTACCATACTAACACAACTAATGTTACCATCTAGCACAACTAATGTTACCATACTAACACCACTAATGTTACCATCTAGCACAACTAATGTTACCATACTAACACAACTAATGTTACCATACTAACACAACTAATGTTACCATACTAGCACAACTAATGTTATACTAACATAATGTTACCACAACCACTAATGTTACCATACTAACACAACTAATGTTACCATACTGTTACCATACTAACACAACTAATGTTACCATACTAACACAACTAATGTTACCATACTAACACAACTAATGTTACCATCTAGCACAACTAATGTTACTATACTAACACAACTAATGTTACCATACTAACACAACTAATGTTACCATACTAACACAACTAATGTTACTATCTAACACAACTAATGTTACTATACTAACACAACTAATGTTACCATACCTGAAGTTGTCTCAATGGCTTCAGCAGGTGGCTGTGTCACTTTCCGTCCAACTATGTTCTTTATGCCCTGCTTCCAATGATGGAAGATGCTCTTCTTCCTCTCATGATTGTTCTCTAAAACAGATAATATTGCAAGAAACAATTTCTGGTTTTGAGACATAAACTTTTGGGTAAAAAGGAACAATTTTAAAGTAAATCTTCCAATGAAAAACATAAACTGGTCATTTGCAAAACTGTCAGGAAACTATAGCTCTTATTTACTGTTGTTTGAAAAACCTTGCATAATTCAACAGATAATTGACTTTGAAAATCACAAAATTGTAGCACTGATATTATATTTGTGTACTCACGCCTAATATTTATCTTTGTGCAGAGCCATGCCAGTGTTTGAGGCAATGAGAAAGCAGGCTATTTGAGGGACACAGCAGTTGCTCTAACCGGTCAAATACTGGACCAAAGTGATGTCATCTATGCCATGCATCTAAAAGCTAACCTGGGCAACAAATGCCTGCAGACGTCGGATGTGTTGGCCAGAAGGCACTAATATCACACCATGTCGTAAACAGGCTCAATGCATTTACGTCCTTGGATGACCGATGAAAAATTAGGATTCCTTGTGTGATACATCACGAGGACAAATACAACAGAAGGCCTAGCTTCGCATTCCTATCCAGACTGGTTGTAACTCAGAGTTACCAGACATGAGCATTTCACTAAGGACACAAGACATCGGATTAATCAATACAGAACAGGTATGATTGGTTGTTTTACTCTTGTGGAACTACTGAGGAGGAGATCAGAGCACCTATGGACCTATCTGGAGCACTATGATGATATTACTCACAAATCACTAGTATCCTCATTCATCTCTGTCTTCATTTTCACTCCAACTAATTAGGCAGATTTAGACAAATAAATTGGTCACAGCTGCCAGGTTGACTCAGTCTTAAATACAGACCAGATCATGTTCAGAGTAAGGAAGGAGTTATGTGTGATGTTGACCACATCGGTCATCACATGCTGACTGGTCTATAACTAAGAGTCTAGCTCAAGCACGGGCAAAACTATGGGCAAAAACTTGCCGCCAAGCAATTTTTACTGGCCCACAAGGCTGGTGTAAAACAGTTTCATATTCTGGCCCTTGAGCTCACAAAATAGCTGAAATCGTTTGCTACCTAATTATAATTTATTAATATCAGTCCTACTTACAAAGGATGAGAGTGACTTCCCTTGCCATTCATGCCTCGAAAGGACACAGTACCTCTTCTATGTTCAGTTTTATATAATATGGCTAGGTTTGGCATTTACTGGGCGGCATATGTAATATTTGTGGGAGGAAGTGCCCTGAGCCTATTTCAAGCATCGCAGGCACCTGTGCACAAGTAAGAATTACTGCAGGGGGGAGTGCTGCAGGCGCAACGGTTCTTGAGTATCACATTTGGGATATTTTTTTATTTCTACGTTCGTTGGAGGTGGTCACTTTCACTAAATGATATTTTTTTTTCTACAAATAACCAGTTTGAAAAAACACACTTAGGAAAATAAAGACGGGCTTCAGTGGGTAAGTATGTCTGGTCAAATGCATAGTTAGGGATTTAAATCTTAGATTATCCCACAAAACTCTCATGTTAGAAGGAAATTTGCGTGTTGGGTTCATTATGGATTTTTTTCTATATGACCCTCAACCAGGCTGGTAATTCTAAATGTAATCCATGTGTCTGGTCTAGCACCTGATACCTGATGCATCAATCGTAGAAAAAGTGTCATTCACTTATTTTATTTTTTTTACATGTGTAACTGAAACCACATTTATTCTAGTTTTTTATTATGTAGAACAAATCTAATGATCTACTACAACATATGTACACATACCAGGTAAATCCTTGGCAGCTTCTTCATCTGACTCTGACTCTGAGTCACTGCTATTAAACAGAAAATGTAGAGTAGCAACTTTATTATTATCATCTTCAACATATTCAGATTATCCTGATACTAATTAAATAATTCAAATGCTTAAATTAAAACTCTGTACATGTGCTCTTCTGAAAAGAGAAAAACTGCAGTTCACTATGGCGCCCAGAAAGGAAAAGACAGGCAGAGAGAGATCAAGAGAGAAACAGCAGTACACTGTGGCAACCAGAAAGGAAAAGACAGGCAGAGAGAGATCAAGAGAGAAGATTTTTGGACAATTTGGCAACATGTCAAGGAAGAACATCTTCACCAGAAATGACAGACAATACTCAAGACAGGAGGCTGTGCAAAGACATGATTCCCTAGCTGCATGACATAGATTATAAGAAGATAAATGTTTTCAAGGTGCCAGTGAGAAACATCCACAAATGAAATCAGCTAAACTGTTGTGTGCTAAAAGTCACTTTGGTATGTAAGGAGTTAATGAAGACAAGGGTTAGCAATGGAGTTGGTGAAGTGTGGGTATCTGCACTCCTTTTCTGCTGCGGTTTGGGCTGTTTGTCTGGGAGTGGAGTCTGCTAGTCCTGAAAAGGATTAGCAAAGTGCCTGGGACGGCTCTTGAATGGGGATGGTTGGGGTCTCCTGTGGGTCAGGTGTTGGTGGCTTTTCGCTCGGCTGGCATCTGGTGCTGGCGGTTTCAGCAGTATCTGAAATCGTTGTGGGTGTGGGGTTTTCTGCCTCTCTTGTTATGTGTGGGCCTTCGGGGTGTGATCCACTGCTCGATCCCCTCTTGTTCCTAGGTCGCCTTCTAGTCAGCAAGAAACTGCTCTATGGTTTGCCGGTTGGGAAAGATTTCCCTGAGGGGCGTTTTTCTAGGGCCGCTCATTGCTTTTGTGATTCTGGCTTTTTGTGCCCAGGAATCGCTGCTTGCAAGGGGACTCTCCTGTTCCTGTAGCATCTCGATGAGTTCTTTACTATTGGGGGCGTCTTCATCGTCATCATCAGTTTCATCGGCTGAGGCTTCCTGACCTGCCTTCTCTCTGACCTCTATCACTTCGTTTGTGACTTGAAGATCCTTTCATAACTGCATGTTTTCTTTAGCCTTGCTTCTGTTACTGTTAGTGATTCCTTGATTGAGATGATTTTGACAAGGAGTTTCTGCTGGGTTGCTCTCATTTCTTGGGTGTCGATCTCTATTACCTTGGTTGTCTGCTCCTTCTGGGTCTGAATGATGCTCAGAAAGGCCAGGATGTCAATTTCATCTTTGTGCCAGGTAATGCAGGTGTTCAAGGGAACGATCGTGCAGACTATCTTGCTGACACTGCAGTTGCTATGGCTGGCTCTGTACTGGACAGAAGTGATGTTATCAATGCCATGCGCTGCACTTACCATACCGAGGAGCAAGCCAAAGGACATGGCTCCATATCCCTGTCTAGACTGATAGACATGGGTGTGCAGCCTGGAGCTGCAAGAAATAAACATTTCACTAAGAGAACAAGACATTTTATTAACCAACACAGAACAGGCGTCATCAGTCGTTTTACACTTGTGGAGCTTTTGAGGAGGAGATCAGAGTACCTATGGATCTGTCCAAAGTGCTGTGATGATAATCCTTTTAATAACTAATCACTTCTTAGGGTTGTCAATTCATCTCTTTCTTGTTCTCTCTGGATTTTGGGGGCAGGTCTCTTGCTTTGAAGGGCCTGATTGTAGCTTACAGTTGCGTGATTTCACTGTTGAGCTTGGAGGTTGATTCATCTTGAAGCCTGGTTGTTCTTGTTTTTGAGGGGGCTTAGTGGTCATGGCATCCACCTTGAGTGCTTGAGGTCCGGGATTCAGGCCTCAGTGAAGGCTTGGATTTTTTCACCTTGACTTCTAGTAATATCCTCGTCTCTGAGTAGTAAGATCGGACTCCTGTATGTGCTGCTGTACATGTAAAAAATCCTTTGGCAGTAAGAAATCAACAAGAGTCGCCTAATTGAGCTACCCAAGCCAAATTTGAAGTTTAAAATTTACCCAAATTATTTTAGAATCCTTGTCAGTGTTGCTGAGTTCATGCACTGCACTGAGATTCTTTGGACTCAGGCTTGAGTTAGAAGTAGAACAGACAACTTACTACCCTTATGCCTTGATGTTGATCCGTTATCTAAACCTAAACTTGTTTTCTTGGGGGGTTTCCCCCACTGACAATTGTTATGACTGTTTCATTGGTTTGGGGGGTTTCCCCCAATGACAATTGTTATGACTGTTTCATTGGTTTGCATCCTGACAGAGCCATACTTTATTAAAAAAGACCTTGGCTCTTAGGTCGACCCAGCCTTGAGTGAGTATCAGGTTCAGTCCTGGGAAGTAAAGGTGACCAGCGTGATGCTGCCCACATCACCTACCCAATGCCGACTGGACTATACAATGTAGTCCTACATGACCAATATGCCTGACGGTGTGGAAAAGGGTCCTATTAACTGGTTTGCTCTCTGAGTTTCTATCTGATGAATGAAAGTAACAACTTACGTAAAGTGAAGGACCTTGCTCATACTTCTGGCATTTCATGGGAAAAAGGTGCTAAATTTTTTTTATATAGGCCATGTGGTCAAGATCACGTCAGCCACTTTTATTTCCCAGAATATTTCCTGATACCCATGTTAGACTGGGTGAGGATGGAAGCCCAAGTAATTATTAAAAATCTACTAAGATGAGGATTCAACCCAAGACCTTTGGACTGGCAAGCAAGCGACTAGCCACTGCACTGCAGCAGTTGCTCTGATGTCTGACACACATGGAAATGATTCAAATAAATAAATCAATAAGTCAAAATGCAGATACCTTAAAGTGAGGCCTTTCTCTAGTTCCTCGTCGGATATAGTTTCATACTCCTCTTGCTCAGTTAACAGAATATAGGAAGATGCAAACTCCATTGTTCTGGTGTGTATATGTCAGGCAACTGCATTTAACAGTTGAAAAGATATATTTGATTTATTTTAAATTAAACAAACTTTAATAAATGTTCACTGAAGAATATTCTTATATTGCAACTGACAAACACTGAAAGACAGCAAATATCTGGTTATTTTACAAATGCAGCTTGGGCAGGAGAAGATCATGAACAAAATTAACTCTTTGAGTCCTAGGGGATGCATTACGCGCTCATTTGTTTCAACCTAGGCACCCAATTGACGCGTGGCAAGTGCTCAAGAGCAAATAAAATGAAGAAAGCTGCAGGAGATGCGGTAGCTGCTGCTCATGAGTCCCAGCCATCTAGTTTAGCCCCAAACCACGCCGCATGAGCGGCGTGGGGAATACTTTCGGCGGTGGCGGAAGTCGCCGAAAGTTCTAAATTTGGCTGTGGCGTTATAGTCACTGGAAGTGCGCAACTGATACGTGACTGAGGCCCTGTTAGGGTATATTTTCTGCCTTGATAATTTAGGACCGTTATTCGGAGGATAGCCTGCTCTGTTTTAATGCTTCAAAAGATTCTCTAAAACAAACTCTAATGTATAGATTGAGTTTATATTTTACTTATACATTACTAAGTGGTTCATATTCATTTGTGATTCATTTTTGATACATTTTAACCAGTTTTTCTTGAGTGCCATGTTGGTAAGTTTTTTTATTTCATTTTACTAATTTTTGTAAACATACCGTCTGTTTATTTACTAATTTTTAATTACTAACGCAATTATTTCTTGTAGATCTATGCTAACATTATTCTTCAACAATCCCTGGTCAGTTTGATGTATAATATGTGTATGTTGCGCGGCAATTAAATTAGTATGGTCTGTTTTAATGTGTTACACTTGTAAAGTTTAAAAATCGCATAACCACCTCTTGGACCTCTGATGCTAAACCCCCTGGGACTCAAAGAGTTAAGAAATAAATGCAGAGCTACTAAAAGGAACATAATTTTGTCACAATTATGACATTTAAAATCTGTGTAGTTTATGCTGACTGAACCAACAATTATAAACATTCATGATGAAAGACTGTTGTTTGATACACTGGCTGACAATGAATGCCAAATTTCGTAGCCAGAAAAGGATTTTTTTTTTTTTTTTAAATATGCATTTTTTCGTTCTTTGTTCAACTATTTAAACTATATGAATATATGGGTTAAAAATGTGATACTATGAAAATAAAGATATGTTTCTGGCTAAAACGTGTGAATAAATAAAAATAATTTCCTAGTGGGTTTTTTTTTTTTTTTAGACTGGAAGTGGATTAAATGGGGAAAAAAACAATTACCTGTATTAGTGTTTCTGGGTCAAGTATTTGTGAGGATGGAAAGACGACAAATCGAAAACAATTATTATTAAAACAAAACACGCTACAACTGTACAACTGCTGTTCCTAATTGTTGTGCAATTATAATTATACAGACGGCCAAACCGAATTATAGCAAACGTAAGGTAAACCGTAAATAAATACTTGTCGCAGTACTAGTAATTATTGAGTTGATCACTCACTCCTGTACTGTGGCAAGTGTGTACTGAACTGTGAACTTAACTCAGTCCGTCTTTGTGTTGGATTACTCTTCTTCTCTTACTAAACTCAAGTGTGCGTTTTTTGGAGGTGATTTGTCTCCCAACTCTGTACCGCAAGTTCTCTCTAACAAAGCATTAGGAAAGTTAGATTTCTGTGTATTGGTCGCTTAGACCAGACATAAACATAACGACTGGTACAGCTGTAGTAGGGCTGCCTGTGTGTGTGCGAGTTTGTGTGTGTTGTCGTCTGTGTGGTCGGACCCAGGGATGCCAATGCTGTGTTTTTTCCCCAAGATCTTGGTTTTTTAGTTGCCGTCTTGGTTTCTTGGTTTTTATTTTTAAAATTATTGAAAATCTTGGGTTTTCAGTCTTATTGATGAAAAAAAACTACAATTAATAAATATTATAACAAGAATAATGTGTGTACACATATCTATAATAGTTTTACCCGCAAATTATATTTTGAAATGTCCTACAAACACTTAAAACAAACTCAGTGTAATTAATGTAACAGAATACAAAGGTTAACTTCAGGGCTATTCAGGAAAAATGTAGCAGACCACCAAAGGACCAGATTTACGATCCCCGAGTAGTGTCCCTTAAGCAACAGATACTAGGGGCGGAGAAGCAAAATAGATGAAGCCTGGGACTTTTGATCGTAAACTTTACAGAAGAAAGAAGTGACCTGACATTTAATTATTGAAGAAAGTTTGGGAGACTTCCTCTCTTCTAGGGGTAATTGACCTGACATTGTAGCGTCTCAGTGGTTGAATTGAAATAAAGCAGATTAGCAGAAACCAACTAAGGACTACTAGGGAGGACCTTTAGTTAAGTTTTCACTAGTTTTTTTTTTTTTTTTTTCTGTGTTGTGGTTTGTTGAACTGTGCTATCAAAATTTACTCTGATTATAACCTTGTTGAATTCAAAATGAGTGAACAGATTACAACATCGAAGAAAAGAAAATGGTATGCTAGGTGTTTCAAAGAGGAATGGCAGTATTGGTACCAATTGAGAAGCATAAAAGATGGCCTAAAATTTAAAATATGATATTGTATCCGCTTTTATGACCAATCTCACTATTTTGCCTCACTCGTCAGCAACGGTTGAAAGCATATTTTTCCTGATGATCTGTGTCAAAACTAAACAAACTAATTCTCTGAAAGCAGACACTGTAAAAGATCGAATTCTTGCAAGGCAAGCAACCACAAGAGGAAATGGCGACTGCACGACATGGACACCTAATAAAGAATTGCTAAAAGAATTGCAAAGTGGCGCAATTAGTCAAAGATATTTAAACAGTATTAAAAAAAAACAGAAAGAGACGGTGACAATTGAAATTGGTGAAGAAGGAGAGCTGTTAGAGTAACAGTTTAATAAAGGTGGGTATATGTTCAGTTTCACAACTACAAAATACTTTTTGCGCAGTGCTGGGTTTTTTATTTTATTTTTTGTTCATATCTTGGGTTTTCGTCAGCCCGATCTGGGTTTTTGACAAAAATCTCATTGGCAGCCCTGGTCGGACCCGGAAGTGCCAGCCCCGACCTGGTTACTACAGACAGGATAGGTACTGACAGACAGCAAACATAAACAACAGCAGCTTCTCTAGTGGACTGAGCTGACTGAAGATGGAAGAAATACCACATTTTCTGGAAAATGCGGTGTTACTTGAAACCCTGTGTCTGGACTTGAACATTGCGAATCTTTTGGGAAACTCCCGAAGTTATCTCTGAAGCAAATGTAGTTTTAAAAAAGTAGGAAATTATTTTATAGGGAAGAGAAAAAGGGATTGAGAAAGAACAATTAATATTATTTTATGTTAGCTTTACAAAATCGATCAAAATAAACAAACAACGGAACGTTGCGGCGATTAGCCTTCATCAGCACATAAAGAACAACACAGCACACATATACAAATATGCTCTAACTATGAAGTGACTACATAGGACTCCAGTGTACAAAATAAATGCTACTCATCTGAGTCCCTGGCGAAAAACTTACTTCAAGAGGATGAATAGGACAGGTACTTGCCTATATATGTAGAAGCAGGATGTTATCACCACATATTAAGAGACGGCCATGGCTATCACTCTACCTCGGGCTTTCCCGTAGCTCCCTCGGTTGGGCATTACCTGAAACACAATAGTGAATTTAGAATTCTGGGGTCGATTTCGTATTGGAAGGGAAATAGACAGAGAATTCAACATATGATGCAAAGGTGCGAGAGACTATGAGTTCTTCCACCTCCGTGTATGTTTGTTGCGCCGAGTGCCCCGCCCACCCCAACCATAGATTTTCTTCATCGTGATGATTTGTAAGGGGGCTGAGCAGTCCATTGAAACCATGTTTAGACATTATCTTTACTATACTTACTAGTCATCTCCTTGTCAGATGCAATTTTTCTCTATTTTGAAGCCCCACCTTGCCAGGGGTCGCAGTACAGTCCGACCATAAATATGGTCTAATGGCTGAGCGCGGTTTCTGGAACCTCTCCACGGGTGATCCTCATCCACATAGTGGCACTTTGTGTCATCGGGTGTTGATCGCTTGTTTGATGTCCTAGTGGGGTAAAATGTACTACTACTACTAGATTTTTCTTTACAAGCATTTAGTTATCCATTTCGTATTATTTCAAATACTTCTGTATATGTATTTACAATTGATAACATTCTTAACATCATCATCATCATTATAATCTTTACCTACGACCCTTGGTCGCCCCTCTGTCCCTTCTGTTTTGGCCTAGAATATATGCATGGCAACGAAAAGGGTGTGAGGGCGCTCATGTTTTCAGGGTGTCAGTGCTCCTGATAGTATGTACCAAGACAGATCAGGACCGAGACAATTAACACCATTTTTGGACTCGTTGAAGGAAACATTTTGCTACCATTAAGAACTAATCAGCTATGTTCTGGCTAACGCATGTTACCAGTGTCGAATATTGAATCTTGCTACAAATAAATAAGCGCAAAATCGTAACAAAAGAGATGAACTGTCTCAGAATATGGTGGGGTAACAAAAGAGATGAAATGTCTCAGAATAGGGTGGGGTAAGAAAAGAGATGAAATGTCTCAGAATAGGGTGGGGTAACAAGACAAGACAAAAAATCAGCAATCAGAAGACCAAAATACTGAACCCAAGTTGAAATATTTATTTAAGAGCAAGGGGTGAAAATGTTTGCCTGTCTGACGAGAATGCCTGGACCTAAATGCCACAGGCAGCGGTGCTAAAGACACATGAAAAACATACATCAGGGAGAAGACCATACAAAATATGGAACGACAGCACCAAGAACAGCACTGAAGATATAAAGATTAAATTATGTAATGCGTTGCAAAGAAAACACAAAAGATCCCCCATAAACACCACCCCCCCCCCCCCCAACCTCCCCCCGATAAGATAACGAGGTATGCATCCTTTTAAACCCGACACGCTACACC